GCTATTTATGATGGAGGCAGGCAGAGCAGTAAGGAGGGTGCTAGCACTCAGGATACACTTTCCTAATTCACTACTCAGGCTTCATGAATACTATGATATAACCAGCCATAAGTTGATATGTTGGCACATCTACACACTGCTGCACTTCCGTCACCCCCAATTCAATATGAAGCTGACAACTCTGCTTACACCAAGGCTCAATCACAGGCGTGTTCAAACCGAAACCTGCATTGTGTCGTTGCTACTGTTGTGTGCAGTCGCCAGCTAATGAAAAGAAGCAATAAAGAGTGGCACCTCCTGGATGGATAAAAGAATTCTAGCAGTTAGCGCACGTCGTGGATAGGTTGAGTAGGATTATCTGCAGTTGATATAAGGGGTTGCAGCAGTCGTAATGGTCATCATTGTTCGACACAACACGTTCGAATTTGTACTCCACACGAAGCCATGCCAGCGGGACCTGCTATCGGCATTGACTTGGGAACGACGTTTTCCTGCGTCGGTGTTTTCCAATGTGGCAAGGTGGATATCGTAGCTAACGATCAGGGTAATCGCACAACGCCATGTTATGTGGCCTTCACAGATAAGGAACGCCTCATCGGTGAAGCCGCAAAGGCCCAGGCTGGCACGAACCCCACCAATACGGTGTTCGATGTAAAACGTCTACTCGGGCGCCGATTCATCGATGAGGCAGTGCAGAGTGACATGAAGCACTGGCCCTTCAAAGTTATAAATTCAAAAGAGAAGCTGAAAATCAAAGTACAGCATTGCGGTATAACAAAGCATTTCGTTGCGGAGGAGGTCTCATCCATGGTGCTGTCAAAGATGAAGGAGACAGCACAGGCCTACTTAGGGGAAGAGGTCACAGATGCGGTGATCACTGTGCCTGCGTACTTCAACGTCAATCAGCGACAGGCCACAATTGATGCAGGAAAAATAGCTGGTTTAAATGTTCTGCGCCTCCTCAATGAGCCGACGGCTGCTGCAATTGCATATGGCTTGGACAAGAAGAGCGATCAGCAGCGCAATGTGCTCATCTTTGATTGGGGTGGTGGCACCTTCGACGTGTCCATTCTGTCCATCGAGAATGGAAAATTCGATGTGAAGGCGGTTGGTGGTGACACGCATCTGGGTGGTGAGGACATTAATTCTCGACTTGTGGCTCACTTTGTGGAGATGTTCAAGCAAGCACACGAAGGACTGGACTTGACAACCAACAAGAGGGCGATTGGCCGTTTGAGAAAGGCATGTGAGGAGGCAAAGAGGACATTGAGCTCGGCTGAGTACACGAATATAGAGGAAGAATCGTTGTTTGAAGGCATCGATTTCAGTGCAAACCTCACACGGGTCCGATTTGAGCAGTTGTGCTTGGACCTCTTCACTCGGACGATGGAAACGGTGGAGACGGCTTTGCATGATGCCAAGTTGGACAAGGATGACATCCAAGAGGTATTGTTAGTGGGTGGGTCCACGCGTATTCCCAAGGTGGAGGAGATGTTGCGGGACTTCTTCCCTTGCAGTAAGCTGAACAAGTCTATGAATCCAGACGAGGTAGTGGCGTACGGTGCAACGTTGCTGGCGTCAAATCTGACTTGTGAAAATTCAAAGGTGGTGGAGGATCTGATACTGCTGGAGGTAACGCCATTGTCACTAGGTGTGGCAACCACAGGTGGTGTAATGACGACGCTGATAAAGCGCAACACGAAGATTCCCACAAAGAGCACAAAAATCTTCTCCACGTGCTCAGACGATCAACCAAGTGTGTTGGTCCAAGTGTATGAGGGTGAGCGTGCAATGGTGAATGACAACAACTTGTTGGGAGAATTTAAGTTGTCAGGAATCCCACCGGCGCCGCGTGGTGTGCCCCAGATTGAAGTGACCTTCAGCATTGACCTGAATGGCATTCTCAACGTGTCGGCGATGGACAAGTCGGCGGGGAAGGAGAACAGCATCACCATCGCTAATAACACGGGTCGTCTGACAGAAGAAGAGATCGAGCAAATAGTGAGTGATGCGGAGAAGTTCAAGGAGGCGGATCAAAAGGAGAAAAGTAGGATGGAAGCTAAGGTCAAGTTAGAGAACTACATCTTTAGCATAAAATGGAAAATGGAGGAGGAAGAGATGCAGCAAAAGACAGCGGAGGGGTCGAGTGAAGACATACTAACGATGTGTGAGACGACCTTGAAGTGGCTAGACATCGACCCAGATGCCACAAAGGAGGACTATGATCTAAAGCGCAAAAACCTGGAGACCCTGTACAGCGCCTTTGTAGCAAAGCAGAACCTCTGACGTGAAAGTCTGATGGTTGGACTTGCACATTAAATCATCCCCCCTCTTCTTGACCCTGCAAAACACGAATTCACGCATCTAGGCAATGCAATTATTTGGATATGATTGTCTAACCCTAACCCATAGTGATTTGTTACTCCTTCTTCATTCTAGTGCCTGCATACACAAGCATTTATTAAAACCCTTACATACCGACTTAGCTATGTATTTAGGGCATGCATTTCGCTGAGTTGAGGTGAGCACAGCAGACAAAATGAAAAATCAGGCTTAGCCAAGTCGCTACTTTGGTTTGTCGCAAGTTCTGTTACATAGAAATCGCTTGTGAGTTATTTACGGCAGTATAAAAAACCTCAATGTGCTGGTGATGTGTACTGAAATGGCCTCACGGTGGGTTTAGTTAAAAGTAA